ATTCTACAGGACCTAGGCTACAAGCCATATATACTTATTATGTGTGTTTTTGCATTATTGATTCTCTGAAATTTGCTTTAGTGTACCATTTGTTCTAATAAAATCTATTTGAATCTATTAAAACAAATAAACAAATGGATAAATTTATTATTTATTGAAAAAAGAAATAAAGAAACTTTAAAGTATATAAATATTGACTGAGATTAATGTATCAAAAAAATTTGCAACATTAAAAATAATTAAACTTTATACATTTAAATAAATATTTTGAATAAATTCTTTAAAAACAACGCGCTGTTTAAATTGACTACTGCTTGTGTGATCAATTCAATCATTAACACCAAAGGAGCAAAATTAATTATTTCGTAATAAAAGCTATTTGTTGTTGTTTTTTGATTTTAGTATTAATGCATAGTTTCTATTCATAGTACAAGTTTCACTTTATATGCTTTATATGCTTTTATTTGAATTATTATTCGTTTTATTTGGATTATTATTCGTTTTATTCAAGTAAACCTTATTTGAATAGAAACCTAACTGCTACTTAAGATTATGATATTATTTTAGCAAGAGCTTTAGAAATATTTAACCAATAACTTAATTACAATAATTGGTTAGTATCAGAGAAACAGAGCATTTATGAAAATGATTATACAAAACAAACACTATTTTACAACTTTCCTCAGAGTCCAAATGCAATTTCAGGGCCACCAACCCTGCTCTGGATTGTGACCTTCTATGTTTGAACGAGCTGCAGATTCTCTTAAATATTCCTCCAGAGTTGCAACAGCCTGGTCACAGAGCCATCCTTACCCTAGAGGTGGGATCGTTGCAGGCAACTTTTGAGCTAACATGGCAGCCTTCTCTGGTCTGGGTGTTTTGAGGGAAGATTAGTGAAAACATCCTTGACGATCGATGCAGCCTCGGTTAGAGGTTGGGACCGGTTTTAAACCGAATATAATAAAACCGGTTCTAACCGAGCAACCGGTTATAAATAAAACCGCAAAACCGGGTTTAATCGGGCAACCGGTTTTAATTTTGTGGGGAATATATCAAATGAAAGCAAAAGTTATTTAATTATTTGTTTTCC